TTCATGTGTTTTTTTACGTGGACAAAGGGAGGCGTTTTGTCTGGTTATTTATACTACTGCATGACTTATATTCTCCCACCACGACCCAACTGATTATATTAATTACTGTGTCACGAAAAAATATTTTGTTCCTGGGTAGTAAGTGTCATTTTCCAATTGATTTTGCCTCAAAAGTACAGAAAATGGCTATTATTCCCCACAAACTTTGCTTTTGTGACCAGGACAATGATATTTTGAAATGTACCTATTTTCAATGAGAAAACGTGGTGTGCATTTGTGTAATTCCTTCACGTAAAGCCCTGGTCACAGAAGCAAAGTTTGTGGGGAATAATAGCCATGTTCTATACCTATGAGGCATAAGCAATTAGAAAATAACACTACCCAGGAACAAAAATCGTGTAACATAGTGAATTATCTGGTCTCATGAAGGCAGACAGGCAGACCCAGCACTGTTCAGCCGGGTGAGAGAACCCATCGAGTGGTCGTGCCACACAGAACCATCCCATCCCGCAGCGCGTGAATTCGCCACGGACACGGATCACACGAAGTCTGATTGCAAATCATCGATCGTGATTGCAATCATCGATCGTGGGTCCACACCGATGCCGAGTCTCACGCCAAGAGCCGTCGCGTTCTGCTCGAAGCGAGACGATTTTTGTTGTTTTTGTTGATGTTGTTTTCCCTCTTCGGAGTTCGCATCTTGAACCCCGTCCGCGAGCTTAGTGCCCGAAACGTCGCGCTTGGGCCGTTTGTGAGCGACCTGGGTCGTGTTAATTATTAATTGGATGGGGAGCGGTGGTGCAGCGGTTAGCGCTGCGCTACGAACCCGGCGACCCGGGTTAGATGACTGCTCAGGGCCAACACCGGTGACGATTTATCCGAACCGGTCTTGGGCCTCCCCTAGGTCGACTCAGCCTCAAATGAGTACCTGGTGCGGTGTGTAGGGAGACGAAGGCGGCCGGGCGTGGTGCTGGCCACCCACCCCTTCGTGTGCCGTGCCGGCCTTCATAGGTGCTCGCTAACAGCACTTGCCCCAACAGCCTGTTCAGGCTATACGGGGGATCTTTGTCTTTGTTTTTATTAATAATAATTGAGGAGCGGCTGATGAAGGGGGAGCGAGTGACTCGTCGTCCCTCCGTCGCTTATGGACTATCCAGCTCTTGAAATGTAAATGCATTTTAATATTCCCGTCGCAAATTTAATCACGCGCCACGCGCCGACCCAAACCACCTGAGGATGGGAAGCCCCCGCTCCTATCAGACACCGCGTACACAGACAAATGTGCCCCCTCCCCGCACCTCCGACTAGCACCCGGTTGGCTACGTACGGTGCGAAAGAAGTTCAACATACGCGTGCGTGCGTAGCCCCTGCGAGGTCGACTCAGCCTTCAGTGAAGAGTACAGCTGGTGCAGTGTGTAAAACATACACGCGCAAACACGCACAACAGCCAAAGGTCACCCGTATAGCAGTCAACAGATTGTTGGGGCAAGTGCTGTTAGCGAGCGGCGCCCACGAGGGGGTGGGATGGCCAGCACCACGCCCGGCCGCCTTTGTCTCCCCTGTGGCGATGTTTACACGCCACACCAGGTACTCATTTGAGGCTGAGTCGACCTAGGGGAGGCCCAAGACCGGTTCGGATAATCGTCACCGGTGTTGGCCGCGAGCGGGAATCGAACTCGGGTCGAGCAGCGCGCTAACCGCTGCACCACCGCTCCCCATCAACATACATGTACACACGCATGTGAATGGATGCGTGTTTACATGTGTGTCGCTAACAGGGGTGGCGCAGCGGTTAGGGCGCTACGCTACGAACCCGGCGACCTGTGTTCGATTCCCGCTCAAGGCCGGTGACGATCGTCTGAACCGGTCCTAGGTCGACTCACTTAGGTCGACTCAGCCTCAAATGAGTACCTGGTGCGGTGTGTAGTAAACATCGCCACTGGGGGAGACAAAGGCGGGCGGGCGTGGTTACTGGCCACCCACCCTCGTGTGCCGTGCCGGCCTTCATAGGTGCTCCCCAATGGCACTTGCCCCAACAGTCTGTTGAGGCTACACGGGGCATCTTTGTCTTTGTTGTCGCAAACAGCACTTGCCCCAACAGTCTGTTGAGGCTACACGGGTGATATTCTTACTATGTCACATGGTTTGGATACAAAATAGAGCACAGATATCTCGCACATGGTCATCAACAAACTAACTGGTTAATTGTTGTCAGCGAGCACCTGTTAAGGCAGCACGCCCGACCGCCTTTGTCTCCCCAGTGTCGATGTTTACACACCGCCCCGGCAGGCACTCGTTTAAGGCTGAGTCGACCTAGGGGAGGCTCGGGACTGGGTTCAACTATTCGCGACCCTCATCGCATGCTTGGGAGCGGGAATCGAACTCGGATCCCCCGGGCTCGTAACCCACGGCCTCCTCTTCCCCCCCCGCACCACCGCTCTGTACTACCAAGACAAAGACAAAGATCCCCCGTGTAGCCTCAACAGACTGCTGGGGCAAGTGCTGTGAGCGACAGCAAAGACAAATATCCGCCGTGTAGCCTCAACAGACTGCTGGGGCAAGTGCTGTCAGCGACAAAGACAAAGACGCCCCGTGTAGCCTCAACAGACTGCTGGGGCAAGTGCTGTTCGCGACAGCAAAGACAAAGATCCCCCGTGTAGCCTCAACAGACTGATGGGGCAAGTGCTGTCAGCGACAACAAAGACAAAGACGCCCCGTGTAGCCTCAACAGACTGCTGGGGCAAGTGCTGTTAGTGACAACAAAGATCCCCCGTGTAGCCTCAACAGACTGCTGGGGCAAGTGCTGTTCGCGACAACAATAGACAAAGACGCCCCGTGTAGCCTCAACAGACTGCTGGGGCAAGTGCCGTGAGCGAGCAGCGCCTATGACAGGCAGGCACTGTGGCACACGAGGAGGTGTGCGTGGGTGGCTCAGCAGCACGCCCGGCCGCCTTTGTCTCTCCCTAGCGGCGACGCACCGGTGCATGGAATGCACGCACATACACAAACAGTATAGAGTGGAACTGTAGACACACACGCACACACACGCGCGCATCTGGCATCACCAAAGCGCCGAGAGCCCACGTCATGTTATTTTGCAGTAATTGCTGCTCGAGTGAAACACGGCTGAGTGATAATTGTCGGCACCGGGGCGTTATTAAATATGCATGCCCTTAATAGCGTAAATACAGGGAGACGCGGAGAGGAGACTGGAGCAACTTCTTGCGATCAGGCACAGTCACATGTCGTGCACAGCGATTTTTCACTCACCCACTCGCTCACTCACACACTCACTCACACACTCACTCACTCACTCACCCACACACTCACTCACACACTCACCCACTCACTCACTCACACACTCACTCACGCACTCACTCACTCACTCACCCACACACTCACTCACACACTCACCCACTCACTCACACACTCACACACTCACCCACTCACCCACTCGCTCCCACACTCATCCACACACTCACCCACTCACTCACTCACACACTCACCCACTCACCCACTCGCTCCCACACTCATCCACACACTCACTCACCCACTCACTCACACACTCACCCACTCACACACTCAGTCACCCACTCACTCACACACTCACACACACACACTCACCCACACACTCACCCACTCGCTCACCCACACACTCACTCACACACACTCACCCACACACTCACCCACATACTCACCCACACACTCACCCACTCGCTCACACTCACCCACTCACTCACCCACACACTCACACACTCACCCACTCCCACACACACTCACCCACACACTCACTCACCCACACACTCACCCACTCGCTCACCCACACACTCACCCACACACTCACTCACCCACACACTCACTCACACACTCACCCACACACTCACTCACACACTCACACACTCACCCACTCCCACACACACTCACCCACACACTCACTCACCCACACACTCACCCACACACTCACTCACCCACTCACTCACACACTCACCCACACACTCACTCACACACTCACTCACACACACACTCACACACTCACTCACCCACACACTCACCCACACACTCACACCCACTCACTCACACTCACCCACACACTCACCTACCGACTCACTCACTCACACACTCACCCACCCACCCACTCACCAACTCACTCACCCATCCACTCACTCCCACACTCTCCCACACACTCACCAACCCATTCACCCACTCATTCCCACTCACCCACAGACTCACCCACCCACTCACCCACCCACTCACTCACACACTCTCCCACACACTCACCAACCCATTCACCCACTCACTCACATACTCACCCACCCACACACTCACCCACACACGCACCAACTCATTCACCCACTCACTCACACCCACACACTCACCCACCCACTCACCCACCCACTCACTCACCCACACACTCACACACTCACCCACAGACTCACTAACCCATTCACCCACTCACTCACCCACTCACTCATACACTCACCCACACACTCACTCACCCACTCGCACACTCACCAACCCATTCACCCACTCACCCACACACTCACCCACCCACACATTCACCAACCCATTCACCCACACACTCACCCACTCACTCACACACTCACCCACACACTCACCAACCCATTCACCCACTCACTCACACACTCACCCACCCACACACTCACCAACCCATTCACCCACACACTCACCCACTCACTCACACACCCACCCACACACTCACCAACCCATTCACACACTCACCCACTCACACACCCACCCATTCACCCACACACTCACCAACCCATTCACACACACACCCACCCACTCACCCACACACTCACCAACCCATTCACCCACCCACTCACCCACTCACTCACCAACCCACACACTCACCAACCCATTCACCCACCCACACACTCACCCAATCACACACTCACCCACACACTCACCCACTCACTCACACACTCACCCACCCACACACTCACCCACCCACTCACTCACCCACTCACACACCCACTCACGTGTTTGATCCCTGGTCCAGCGCCGGAGGAGCGAGGCAATTTGGCTCCGTTTCAGCACCATTCCGTGTCCATTCTGAGGATACGAGTCCATGCGAGGTCCCGGCACAGTAACGGCGAAGTGTCGTCACTCATACTGATCATTATAATCGCGGTACGTGCCACGACTATTAGCTGGCCTCGCTAGCGCTCTTTCAGTTGTCAACGCCGCACGTTCAAGGTTTTTGCAATTAATCAGAGATTTAATATTACAAATAACAATACAGATTAGGATGATGGTTATGATAATGGAATGATGAAAATGACTGATGTAGTCATAAGCTAATATTATTTTTGTTGTAAACTGATTATTATAATGTGTGTTGTTGTTGTTGATGATAATAATAATACTAGAATGATAACACCGATCTAGCCATTAACTAACGGCATCCCCCCCCCCCCATCCTTCTAACGGATGAGAGTGATGATGATGATGGTGATGCCGAGGATGATACTGGAAGCGGGAGAGAGAGAGCGGTGTAAGGCCAGGACCTTTCCTCCTCCTCCGTGCTAGCGCAGTGCCTGCCGATTGCTGCCCCCCCCACGCCTCCACAGATCTCAGGCACCAGAGACGCCGAGGCTTTGCAAGCGCCTCGACTCGCCCGGAGGATGCAACATCACGGATCCGTAGGAGGCACACGAGGGCCAAGGAAGGTGGTGGTGGTGCGGGAGGGAGGGAGGGGAGGGACTACACGAAGCCAATTAGCGCTCTCCAACACATTGCACATCCACGCAAAATATATCCCACCCCACACCCCCCACAACCGCCTCAACCTCCCCACTTCCACAGTTTCTCGTTTTCTTTTTTTACGATCAGAGGAAACAAGAAAATGATCGGTGTAGTCGGCACTTTGCTTCGTTCATCATTTCGTTTTTTTTCATGCTTTGCTTTATGTAACCCCCCCACCACCCCCCCCCCCTTTTTTAATGAAAGCTTTCACGAAAAATGTCACGTTCTGCTCTCTCTGCCCTCCCCCCCCTCTCTCTCTACCCCCCTCTCTCTCTCTACTCCATGCCGCTCTCTCTCTCTCGATTCTCTCTCTTCTCTCGCTCCCTCTCCTCGCTCTCTCCGCACTTCCCGTCCAGCTTAAAAAAAACCCCCTCCATGCCCCCGTGTGATGATCCAGCGAGCGCTCTGTAGATCTCGCCCGAATTAGCATGGTCATGCATATGCATAGGGGCGGCCTTTGGCAGGCTAACCCGAGCCGAAACGCGACGATGTTGACGCTGCAATGCACCTTGTCCCCCCCCCCCCCCACCTACGTGTCTCTCTGCATCCACCCGGTTTGTGTCTCCGTCTGACCGTGTTGGGGGTCTCGTTCCTTCGTGTGTGTCCGTGCAGTCTGTCCGCTTGCTTGTCTCTCTGCTCGCCCCAACAGTCTGCTCAAAGCAATACGTGCGATCTTTTGTCTTTGTATGTTTTGCCTGGTGCGCTCACTCTCTCTCTCTGCCCCCTTTTGGCCGTCTGTGTGTGCGTCCGTGTGTCTGTGTGTGCGTCCGTGTGTCTGCTCGTCTGTCTGTGCCGTCTATGCATCCGTCCATCTGTCTGACGTACGCGTGGAACAAAGGTTACAGAACGATGCAATATTTATTCACGTATTGTTATGGCTGTACAAGTGCCCTGTGTTGCTCGTCCCATGTGTGCGTGTGTGCAGTGTGGTGATGCACGCGTGTGATTGTGTTATGTATCTGTGCAAGTATTTGTGTGCTACTTGTATGCGCGTGTACGTACACACCCATGCAATGTTTGAAACCCTTTGTAATGTCAATGCTGGATTAACATCTCTTCCACGCGGTGTCAATCATGGACCATACTTCACCACGCTGGTCAATGTATATTTATAGAGAGCGGAAAGGCGAAACGGATCCGGTATCACTCTGGATCGGTGTTCGCCGTCGGCCGTGAATCGAGCCCAGGCGTTGAGACCGAATGTGAGACCGACATTGATGTGAAGCGTTTAGTTGCGTTGGTTTGTGAGCACGTGTTTGTAAGTGTATGGTCCTGCGGCACACAAAGTTGGCACAATAGGGGGCACAGGTGGTGCATCGGCCAGTCAATCATCTTAGCCAGTCGACCCGTGGCACTCGCTGGGTCTGCCCCTTGACCTCCTGCCAGCGGGCGTTCGACGCTTCACGTGGCCTCGACGTGCACCTAGCCTGGCACAAGCGTCGCGGTGGCGTCACCGCCACTTAGTGGCGAATTGTGGTTGTTGTTGTTTGTGGTTTTTGGGGCGATGTGGGGAGCGGTGGCGTAGCGGTTGGTCCAGTAACCCCGAGTTCGATTCCCACCACTCACCACCAATAAAATATAATCAGTGGCGAATATTTTCACCGATACTGGGACTCCTCTTAGGTAGACTCGGCCTTAAATGAAAAAGGCGTCCGGTCGTGTTCCTGGCCACACTCAGCCCCCCCCCCCCCTATTGTTATGGGTGCTCGCTTACAGCACTTGCCCCAACAGTCTGTTTAAGGTTATACAGAAAGGGGGGAATCTTTGACTTTTGTGGCATTGTGTGCAGGTGCCTTGCACTCTTCACACAACATCAGCCCACGGAGTTCATTCATTAATCTTCTGGATTTGCCGGCCGTCTCGCGATTATCGCCTTACCCTTTTGGCTATTAGCTTATGAATTCAGAGCGCCGCCCCCCTGCCTCAGCTAACCCGATTATAGATCCGGTCAATACGCAGCCATCGAGCCGGGGAGTCAATAGAAAAACAGAGGATACGCCGGATTTCACTCGCAGAAGAATAACCACCAAAGACAAAGGTCCCCCGGATAGTCGTGCAGACTGTTGGGTCAGGTGTTGTCAACGAGCAGAGCACGAGGCTGCGTTGACCTCGGAGCCAATGCCCGACCACCTTTGTCTCCCCGGCGCCGATATTTTCACACCGCAGCAAGTGCACTCATTTAAGGCTGGCTCCACACGAGAGGAGACCCAGAACCGGTTAATATTTTCCGAACTAATATTTTGCAGTAAGCAAGGTGCCACGGTTGCGAGATGTTAACTACCTCGCCTGGTGTGCAGGAGGTCGTGGGTTCGAGCTCGACCCTGACGCCTGCGTGGATTTTTCTACGGGTCCTCTGTTTCACCCCCACACCCCTCCACATTTATAATCAACATGCTTTTAGAGGACAGTATTTGGTTGCTATACATTTCCACATTTGATGAGAAGCCTTTTGTGACTGCTAGAATTCATACTCTTTGGTTATTTCGGTAAAATCACGTGGATATTTATTTTCCTACCTACGTGACTTTACCGAAAGAACCAAAGAGTAGATATTTCCACATTTGTTGAGCTATCATTTGCACCTCCGATTGGCTACGTACGGCGCGAAAGAAGTTCAGACGTGGCCAAGTCGCTTTCTCTAAAAAAAAAATAAGCTACATAGCTCGCTGGGCATTATCTGCCAATATAAATAAATGAGTTTAAAACTCAGGTGGCATTTCATAGAGGCAGCGGTGCACGCTACCACGACGCTAACGGCTCCAACAACTATCGCTGCTTCCAACACTGACCGCGGCAAAACAAGAAAACGCCGCGCTACCAACCGACTCGGCCACTTAATTTCCCTTGCCCCTTGCCTCGCAACGGAGACGGTTACATAGATGTCAACCCCATATCAGTGCCTAGCTGATTACAGACAAATTCAGACCTTGTTGGTCATCTTCTGTGCCCTTATAAATCGCAACGTTCCTCCTACAAAGTCCCATCACAAGGGAGAAACACAAACAGACAAATATATATTTTTGTGCCCGTATTGAAACGGCTGTACGTCGTATGGACCTGAAAACTCAATTTCCCTGTGCAAGAATAGGGGGTAAACCGTATGGGGTTTATGCAGCTTTAGAGCACATGTTGCTGACATTGGGATTTACGCATTAATGCGTCCTTGCCAGCTCCTCTCCCCCGAGTCTTCTGCGCGTCATCGCGATCAATTCCTAGTTGTGTAGTTATAATTTATTTAGACGCTATTGCTTGTATCCTAGACAGTGTGTGCAGATGGTGGGCATTTGCCGTCGCAGGCAGAATGTCACCCGCGCGATTGGCGATTCTCTTTCAAAAACAAAATCTCGACTGCTACTACATTGCATTAAACGTACACTTCGACATTAGGGCGTCGTCGTCATAATTGACAGTCCTTTTTCTGAATCCACGATCGGTCGAATGCCTCCTCCCCACTCCGTGTGTATCGTTGAGCGGTTGGTTTGTTCGGCCCTAATGCACCACGTTCGGCCAAGCACGTTTATGACGGATGCGTTCGAGACTGGCTCAGATATCGCTAGAGCCACTGATGTTAGCCGTGACCGGGGTTTCGAACTCCTGATCGCCAGGTCCATACAGTGCAGGTGCGCCAATCTCGTCGCCACCTCTTCGCCAACAATAAAGATATTTTAAATGCCATTAGCTCCCATAGACCGTTTTCAACCAACATTGCTCGCTAGCGTTGACTGGTGATTCGTCTCGTCGAAGGTGGGAGTCTTTTGACCAATAACATCTTGGAAAGCCAGCAGCATTTATTTAACCAGCCGGACTCTGCCAAACGCGAGACCTTGAGCGTCGAAGCCGTTCCAGAGTTGTACCGTATTGTTTCAACAAATGCTGCTGCGTACAATTTGTCTGGAAAGCCAAGGGGCCCGATGGACACCAATGCACACATTTTATTTTGACGCGAAGAGACAAATGGAGATATCATTCGTTGATTTCGTGACAGCAAACGGCACTTTGACTTGGCAAAAACGGCAACGGAAAATGCGTAACGGATGCGCATGAATTATGCACGGACATCTAAAGCAACGTGTTGAGTGTGATGTTAGATACTTGTTTTTTTAAAAACCTCAAACGTAATCATTTAGAAAATGCATCGTTATGAGCTGTCCCAGTGACCGTCTGAAACGTGCACTCTTTTACCAAACTAAGACATCTCTCCATGTTAAGCGCCGCAACGTAACGTCAACGCAAACGGCTCGGCCACAGTATTCGTTTCGGTGGTACGATTTTAATACCGATCTGAGAGCGAGTGACAATGCAACTCGTACGGAGGAGGGGTGCACATGCGTACCTTACGCCAAGCGCTCCATCCACAACCTCCACTCACCGTTTCGCTGCATCTCCGACTTTCTCCAGGCGCGAGTGACGTTCCACTCATTCGGAAGAGTCAAACAAAGTGAGCGTTTTATTTATACGGAGGCCGGCGATCACGATCCCCCACTGGCTAGCCTGCCAGAGCCAGTTCGTCTCTCTCGTCTCGCCTCGCCTCCCCAAATCCCGCATCGGGGCACTTAAACGCCGTCTCAGCCCGAGTCTCTGCTTGCCCGGACACGCGCGTTGCGCAGCATCCTCTGTAGCAACACCGCAGCTGCTGCAGCAGCAGCAGCAGCATCAGCAGCTTCGCCATCAGGCGGAGCGCGTTGCCATGGTGCCGGCGGGATGGGTGTCGCCCTGGTAACGTGTAGAGGAGGAGGAGGAGCAGGAGGAGGAGGAGGAGAGAGGAGATGGGGGAGAGCGCCCGGTGTGTGTGATACTAGGGAAGAGGCGTCTTTCTAATTGACTCGGTTGAACGTGGTCTGCAGTGGGTGTAGCCTAGTTGGTTGGCATCGGTCATCGTAGACCTGCGCCCTGGCTACTCTGGGC